ATATCGAACAGTGAGGGAGAGAGAGAGACAGAAATTGAGAGAGGGAGATAAATAGAGAGATAGAGAGAGGGATAGAGAGAGAGGGAGAGAGGGTAATGAATACGTAACTGTTCGTGGTATTTAGATTTTCATTACTCCTTAGCCTTCTGAATCTAGATTTGTATATAGATTCAAACCTTAAATCAAATATATCTATTGCTGCATATGTAAAAATCTTCATAGTTATTTTAGGTATTCCCAGTGTGTTAGGCGCAGCATTCGTCTCTTAACGTATCGCTAAAATTCTAAGAGTCATCGTGCATCTACCCAGGGTCGGATTAGCCCTCAACGGGACACTAAGCAACCATCAATTTCAGGGCTCCTTTTCTAATTATATATTTGATTCACTCTCTCGAATTTTATGCACTATTTGAACGCATGTTTGCACTTATTGTATGTATTGTATATTGTATGTTCATGCCTGAAAATCTGTTTAGAATTTGGTTCACCAGCGATCAAGCGAATGAAAATAAATACTAATTTCAAACTAATTGGAAATCTCTTTACCAATGTAGGTCGCTTATTATAACATACATATATACATATATACTAATGATTCCAATATATCAAATTTACACAGAGGCCACAAATAAAATATTGACGGATTTTTAATAATGATTCTCCATGAGTTGAACTCATTAAACTAAAATAATAATAATTATTATTATGTTTATATTCATATTTATAAACAGTTTTAATTAATTTATATTACAAATAGCATAAATTGATTTTTAATTCAAACCAGCAATTAAAATAGCATATATTTACATACACATATAGTTATTATATATTTCCGAAACAAAAGCCCTAGTTATATACTTACATACATATAAAGCGCTTATCAATATTTAGCGCCGCTTTTAGTGGGTCATTTATCACAGAGCCCAGGCAGCCCAGCACAAAGCGAGCGATGTGAACAAAGCAAAGTGGATGCGCTTATATGCATATCGGGGAGTTGATAAACGAGATGCCACATAAAACATTTTGGCTTATTACCAAAACGAGGCGGACTCTCTATATATACACTCATATAAATATATATATATATTTGTATATGGCCGTAGCAGTCTGGTCGTTGGTTGGAGTTATTAAAAATTTCATTTGAGCTTGTCATTGGAAAAGATGATTAGCGAAAAGCGAAAACAACAAAATATAAAGCAAACGCAGCGCAATTTGATAAATTTGATTAGATTTTGGCGCAGTAAATAATTGTATGCAAATTTATTTAAATGCATATTTACCCGCGTAATTGCTGCAAATTTACGTTTCATTTAGCCAGGCAGGACGCGAAAAAATAAATGAAAAGGACACAGGTCACAGGACCTCACGGCCAAGCAAATGACCAAATGGCGGCAATGAAAAAGCGGCAAACAGATTATAACTCCCAGCTGACATTGTGGGCTTTATTATTTGGCCATTGAAAAATGTGACGCTGCTTGGCTCAGCGGCTCGGCGACCCAAGTGGACTTTCATTTTTCAAAGTTAACCCGCAGCATGGGCGAACCTTTTTTTTTTCTCGTGTTGGATGTTCTGTGTTTGTTTAAACATCGCCGGGATTTGCTCGCCGGCTCTCCAGCTTTTTATTGTTTACCTTTTGGTCTGTTTGCTGATTGATCCCTCGGGTGGATGGGTGGGTGGGTGGTTCAGCGGTCCGTTTCGGACCGGCGTAATTAATTTTGCTTTTTGATTAGTGCATGGCAAAAAGGCGAATCATCAAATTGTCACGTAATTATATTTGTGTTAATGATGTTTCGTGCCAGCCATGAAAAGTCAATTAATATTTGGCAAAATGAACAATCTAGATTTGACATCAAAATCAACATCAGCGACGCGCCGACGTCCGAGGACTGAGGGTCGAGGGCTAGCGGGCTCTTTAATTAAAATTTGCTAGGCCGCAGTTTTATGCATGCTGTGATTTTTAATTTCCATTGAAATTGCAGTCGTCTACCGAAATCTCTAAAATTTGATTCATATTTTTTCCATCACTTGTATTTGATTTGTTATAATTGTTGCTGTTGTGTTTCTTTTCGTGCAAAAAGTCATTCAACTCGAGTCGGGCACGCGACCTTAAAGCCTCGTCAGATGCCAACTGAGTGCTCCATTAAATTATATAAGCAATAAGTGGCTATTAGCCGCTATTTAAGCCAGAAACAGGTTTTTTATTCGCCTGGCAGCGATTCCAGTTAACCGACTGAGACGAAATTGCAACAACAACTGCGAAAGTATGGAACAGCATTGAGATGAGGTGTGAAACGGCTACTGAATTCATTCAAATTAGGAACTGAAGCCAATCGAAAGGCATTCGTGTAAATGCCTATTAAGCATTCCATTTGCATTTGGTTTGGGAATTTCAGATATTTCCGATAATTATCATTGTTGCTTAGCAATTTTAGGTTGCATTCTGCACTCATGGCGCGTTTTTAATTGCAAACTTTTGTTCGTTTGACTCGAGAACTATAACTCATGCGCCAGGCTGGAGAAGTTGAGCTCACGTTACGCATACGACATGTTGCACGGCAGTGTTTGACTTAAATGCGAGCAAGCCAGCCAACCATCTGTCTGTTGCATGTACTCACACGTACGTGCAGGAGCAGGAGCAGGAGCAGGAGCTGGGGCAGCAGTGGGAGCAGAGGCAGGAGCAGCGTGTTTGCCGTGAACAGGTGCACGCAGGTGTTGCTCACATTCAAGTCATGGCCGGAATCGTGCATACTTCGATCTGTGGAAGTGTGTACCGCCTCCTGCATCAGTATAAATTACTATTAACGGTGTGCAGAATAAATTGAATTGCATTGCATGACGACGTCAATTAAAAGCATGTAAAACCGAATTGCCAATGACGTTTTTAAAATGCAGTCCAACCGTCAACGACAGGGCAGGAAGGGGGGAGGGGTGGAGGTGTCGCTTAATGAGTCGGCAAATGGCTGATGAAAATGCCGAGGCAATATGAAAAACGTTAACTGCTAGCCTTTGAGTTGTTGTTGTTGCTGTTGTTGTTGTTGTCGCTGACATCGGAACAGGGCTCACAAAGTTACCGAAAAGTGACAGGAAACATTGATAAGAGTGGCAATAATGACTCGATTCGATTCGATTTGATTCAATTCGATTCGATGCGGACTGATTGCACTCATTCGATTTGCCTGGCTTAATGGCCAGCCATTAAGCTAGCCCTTTCAAATGATTTAATATGCAGCATTTAATAATTGTCAAAGCAAAAGTTTTTTAATCAAACTTACTCGCCGAATTTTTAATCAAATTACAACTTTTGCAGGAGGCAGGAAATAATAAAAATAGAATTGTGCACTTTTTTTTTTTTTTTTTGTTGGTTTTCGTTTGGTTCAGTGTAGCTGCGGCTGCACTTATACGTTTAAACAAAAATCCCATTAACAATTATGACCTTCCTTTCTGCCGTCAAGTAGTTAAAACTTGAAAGCAAAGCGCACTGCCATTGACTGGGGCGCAGGGCCTGGCTTCTCTTTAAGAGCGACAACAGTTTGTATGGCTGCGCTGTTAGCGATGATGCTTTGGCTTTGGCTCTGCCTTCGGCCCAGCCTCATTTCCACTTTTTACTTTTGAAGTTTTTAATTCTTTGAATCTTAATGACTTCTCGTAATAAGTTTTCATTTCTCGTAATTTCTTAGGTTAATAGAATCTTTCCAGCTTGCAGTTGCAGTTGCAGCTACAGCTACAGCTACAGCTACAGCTGCCGTGTCAAGTAACTATAAATGAGACGACAGTGGGCCGAACAACCCTCGCACTCACGCAAACTCCAATGAAATATGAAAACTATTACAAATTAATTGAAACTATTCAATTGTGGTTGTTCCAAAAACTGTCCAGCACGACTATACGAATTGCAGTTAATCAATATGCCCGAGCCATAATCGAACCCACTGTGTGGTATTGAAACTTTGTACTGGCAGCAGGAAAAGGGGCTAGGAGCGGCAAGCCATTATTACGAAGTTGACGCACAGTCAGTCAGTCAGCAGCAGGAGCAGCAGAGAGCCGCCAGGAAAAACGCAGACGACAATAATGATGACGAGGAGGCGGGGCAGGAGCAGCTCCTTCGCCTGCCCGGCATTCCTATGGCAATGCTATCCAAAGGGAAGCGCTAGAAATGCATAAAAGTCGAGTTCATAAAACGCAGCAGGACCTCAGTTGACATTTATGCGAACCGCGTGCTCTGGCTTTAACTTACAAAACGCCCAAGTAGAAGAAGAAGAGCAGGCAAGCAAAAAAAAAAAAAAAAGAAATAATAATAACTGTAAGCCGCCTCAAAAGAAGTCCAACTATGAGCCGCGTTAAGCACTCGGAACGGACAGCTAAGCCCACATCATCGTCATCCTTGGCCGCGGCTAATCATAAATTCAAAAGCGGCAAAAGTGCAGCGCAGTTACAATTAACTTATTAAACGGGCTTTGGGGCCAAAACAAAAGCCAAGCGACCAAAGGAAGTGCGCGTGCAAATTGTGGAAATGAAAGCGAAACGGGAGGCGTCAAAATGACCGACGAGCCGGGAGCTTGTGTTAGCGGAACGCGGAGCAGCGAACCGGTCCTAGTAAGTGCTGCACATGGGTCCTGCGAGTGCTCCCTATGAAACGGCTTCCCGGCTCGGCTAGTGCGCCACGTGGCGTAATTCATTTAACTGCGGCGTCTTCAAAGTGCTCCAGCTCGCTGCCAGGCAAAGCTCTGGTGGAGCATCCTTGATTGCCAGCGACATTTGCTAATTAGGAAAATTGATTTGGAATTTATGATGCGCAAAATAGCCAGAGGATGGTTGTGGACTGCCTCGCCCTCTAATTGAAAGTTAATGTTTTGCATAGTTCTTTCACTCAACGCACAGCTGTTTGCGCAATTCGAATCAAACGCGTTACGTATTGTTGCATATTACACACACACACACACATATATTGTATATATATACAGACAGTTATTTCAACACTTCCTATTCTTTGCCTTTTGCAGTTGTTGTGACATTTTGGCAACATAAAACGCAATGGCGCCAAAGATGACGCCATTCTCGCAGCTCGACAAAATGGCGACGAGGACGACGACGACGACGACGGAAATTCGCTGGCTCTGCCGATTGCTGCTGCTGGGGGCTTGCATTGGCGCCGCCATAGCTCGAGGTAAATATAACCTGATTACTTCTCAACATATTCATATATTATATAGAAATGTTATGTAAGTTCACTTACGGAATCAAAAACACAGCTTGACTGAAACTCTAATCAATTCTTGACTGAAAACATGAAAGAACCTAAACCTAAAGTGGCTTAAAAACTTAGCTGAACGAGACCTCTAATCAAATTTGATTCGAAATTCAAGAAAGGGTGCTATGAACCATATATTATTTTCCAGCCTAAAATCGCTTCAAAACTTAGCTGGACGGAAACAGATTTGATTTAAGGTACAACTGTAGATCTTTTGCTATATCTATTCAAGCACTGACCATATAAAATATGTCAGGTCTATAGTCCTGATATGATAAACTAGGCTTAACTGTAGCTCTAATCAAATTTTATTCAAAATATAAGAACAGGAGCATTTTTCATATATCTAACCAAGCACTGCCCATAGTCCTGATATGATATACCTGAATCCATATCGAGATAGACATATTTTTGTATTGTTAGGTCGAAAGGCGCATGCAAAAATGCATTTATTCGAGCTATCAAAGTGTTTCCAGCGGCATATTGTGCGAAAACTAATTATCTGTCAAAATCATATTGCCAAACAAGTGCACAATGTCCTTTGTGGCCAGAGGATATAAACGCATGCGAAATATTATTAATTAAAATGTTAAAATTGTGCGAGGAAAAAAAATGTGTTGTTGCCGTTGAATACAGTTTATAAAATGTTGCGATTGTTTTTGCCCCAATTATTATCATTTTTATGCTATACGCACGACCCCACTGAAAAGAAATTTCCCAGATCTCTGGCTGGTTTTTTGCTGCTCTATGCTCTGTATGTACGTGCTCTGTCCGTATATTAATAATCTATATCATGTCATTTGTGGAATATTGATTTTGTCAATTTAATATATGTACATAATTTTTAATTTTTATTTTTTAGTTTAAGCGCATTCCTCGACTAGTTTAAGCACTTCATAAATTTGAAATATGTGTCAACATCGCATCAATTAAAATTAAATTGAAATATGCAATAAATATGAAGCGCATTTAAGCAATTTACACAGTGAGCAACACAACAAATCGAGAAAAAAGGGACCATAAACTGAACTGCCATTGAAATATGAGTGACAAAATCACACAGGGAATGCCAGCAGGGCTTACGCGGCCGATTCAATGGCGACAAACTAAATCCTTCGTCTCGACACTCAACCGCATCAACCACAGCCAAAGCCTCAATGCAAGCTATGGCAACTAGTTGATATCCTGTACAGGATAGGCAGAACTCAATTATTGGCATTAAGCAAATATCTTCTCGGTTAAAAGCTATTAAAGCCTAGCTATAACTGCAGAAGATGAGCATTCACCCTATTAAGATAAAGCTACTTCTACTATCATTTATATATTAAATGCAATTGCGGAGGCAAATACCCTTCTCAAACACGCCCAATTGTATCGATTATGTTTTTCGATTAGAGGGTATGAAATACCAATAAAAACATTTAGCAGAAAAAAACTGAAAAAAAAACCTTTCAGAATTCGCTCATACTAACATACTGACAAATACATATCAATCGATGCTCGCCTAGCATCAAAAAAAGCAACAGTGAGGTACTTTGCAATCGGGCATAGCCGACTGCATGATACTCATGTGAGCTAACTTCTCTATAGAAAATTAGTCAATATTCCTTTATTTTTCAAAATGAAAGACATATACATATGTAGATATAATGATATATATTATAATTGTTAAAAATATATTAAGATTAGCTGAAGTATGAAGTAAACATTTCATCATATATTTATCAATGGCACAGTCGAGTTTCGGTAATTTGTAACTCGCCAAACCCAAAATCGCTAAAGATTGTGAACAAACTTTTATGCCCTTGGAAAAAAAAAACTCGTTCTCGATAATTTGGATTTCTGTTTAAGTTGAAAAAACACAACCCTCTGCCATTTCGAACTATAGGCACTTGACAGTATTTTGATTAAAATTTGCTCTCTAGAAAGATATGTTTAGATTTTAACTAAAATTATTTGGATGTCATTTCAACAAAAATCTTTAAAATCTATTAAAATGCGCGCTTATGCTTATTAATTGACTCACACCTATCATATAATTTATATACACATAGTCCCTGGCGATTTGCCACGCCCTCTTGCACATACATTGCATCCTTGCACAGTTTACTTAAAATCTAAACAACTCTAGCTTTAGTAATCTAATATACTCGCTTAATTTAATATACATATATTAAAATTGATGTATATACTCATTGCCGATTTGCCACGCCTGTACATCTTCGTTCATAGAATTCATAGAATAGCCCGTCTGCAGAAAACCAATATACTCTTATTAATTTCATGAGCTGGCATACAAAATGAATTTGCGATGCAACGAATGCGGATCACGTGATTGCCATGGATATGCCATGGGATGGCCATCTCTGCCGCTGCCGGCTGCCGGCTGCCGTTGCCTCTACCATTGCCAGTTGCTGTTCCTGGCTGACGATGGCCCGCAGCTCATGGCAATTTCATAGCCATATTGCGACAATTTTTATTAAAATTTAGAATTTTTCAATTTATTTAGCACTTCTCTCGGACGCCGTCTGTGACGGCGCTCGACTCGCCTCGACTCTCGATTTGCTGCTTGCTTTTTGATTTGTTGCAGCTGCGTGAAATTGGTCAGCAAAAAAAGAAAAAAGAAAAAAAAAACAGAAAAAGAAACGAAAAAATGGCAATGGACACCGTACGTGATTTGAATTTAGTTTGGCCCACTCAGCAAAAAGTCAACATCTCGTTGTTTGTCAGCTAAGCGAAATGCGATAGTCGGCTTAAATGCTGCCACACCCACTTGTGGGCTGGCCCATGGGAGCTCAAATTGAATTAGTCATTTCAATAATAATATAGCCAACTATCGTTGCTCCTTTGCATGTTGTGTGGTATTCAGCTGGGCAAACGTCCGCGCCCTGGCAAACGAGCCACAGCGCAGACAGACAGTTCCCTGGGGCAAACACTGAAGCAAAAGGAGCAACAACAGCAGGAGCAGCAGGAGCAGCAGCAGCAACAGCTGCAGCAATACACTGTTTTGCCTCGTGCCACTGCGCATCGCAATCAATGGAATGAAATCTGCAGTGGCACATGAAACAAGTGGGTGAAAGGCAAATTAGAAATTGCAAAAATTGTCATCGGGCCTGTGCTGTTGTTGTTGCCCTTGCCACTTTCCACTTCCCTCCTAGTGATGGCTGTCAACACGCTGATAAGTGTTGCAGCTCTCTCTAGGCAGTTGCCAGGAAATCCTTGTCTGCAGACTTTCGCCCCAGGCAGCTCAGTTCGGCGACAGCCAAATGCTAATTTTATTATGACAAATGCACAAAGTCAGTGGAAAAACTGTCTCGTTTCACGTTTCGAGTCCATTTAATAATCCTTAAGTGCCACTTAGCCCAGCCCATATGAGCTGTCATCAATCATGCGCGATCGCAGCTGGCCACAGCCACCGTCTTACACATCATTTTATTAGCATGGGGCTTGAGCGGTAATTTGTGCGCCTCAGGCAGGCGTAAATTTAACAGGGAGCATTACTTATGCGGCTGACTGTGAGCGGCTAATTGAAAATGATCGCACGCCAAAAGGCCAAGATAGACACGCAGCAGCAGCAGCAGCTGCGCTTAACTTAACTAGACATTTAGTTGGCATTACAGCAACGCCCCGAGTCCTGCTAACAATCTTGTTGGCACAACTTTGACGCCAATGCAACAAGCAAATCGTTAAGCGAACCGACTGTAAATCGAGATTGCAGCCAGTGGCCGCTGCCCCTGCTCTTCCAGCTGCCTCTGCGGCTGCGCAGCTGTCAGCTCTAATCTAAATAAGCGATTTGTCTGCGCATAACTTTTGCCTTAACCGGATCGGCTAGCCTCGCCCAGAGTGTGAGAGTGCGAGAGTGCGAGAGTGCGAGAGCTGCTAGGCAGCTGCCTGACTAAATAATAATTTGTATAATTTATTCCAGAGAACTCTGGCCAGCAGCTCTGGCATTCTGTGTTCAGGTATTTGCAGCGCGATAGCTTCGTATGGGCAGCTCTCTGGTATTCCAGCTCCGCAGCTCTCCAGTTGCATTTCAACTGATACTCCTATAAATAATTAACACGTGCATAACTTCCACTTGAGGACGCGAGTCTGAATTGCAGTTTGAGCTTGTTTTTGCCTTTGTCTTGTCTCTTTTTTATAGCAGCTGCTGAAGTTAGGTAAATTACATGGCCTTAGAGAAGACCTTAGTGCAGCGATGCATATTCTATTCCCATCTATTCCGCTCCGCTGTCCTGTGCTCTTGTGCAGTGCGCCGTCCGCCTAAGTGCTTCCGTGGCCTTAGGTCAAGCTTTTGTTTCAAATCTTGCAAAGGTGTTGCACACCTGAGGCGTGTCTGCACAATTGTTAATTTATGATGATAAACACAATGCTATTGACCTTAGCAAGCTGGTGAACTTAACAATGCACAGGACTCTGCACGCAAATATAATTGAATAATAGGCGCTGGGGCATTTTGAATATGGAATTAACAAGGCTTAAGCTGAGCCGATTATCTAAATAATAGAGACATCAGTGCTGCAGCAATAGTAAGAGCCAGTAGCTTAATCAATTTTCAATTTCGACGAAATCGAATCATTGTTAGGTATTAACTTGACCCAGTTGCCCTAGTTACGTTAATATGTTAACTGCTTATGGATGCCATGAGCCTGCTTTACGGCGATTGTTCCTCCAGGTGCGCCAGGCAGTGTTAATTATGAAGGCGCCGCCACATCGTTAGCTGCCAGAGCTCTGTCACAATGCACATCTCCAGTTACTCGGGCAGTTGCTCTAACTGTTATCAACCGTATCTCAGGCATACGGCGTAACACAATAGACGCAACCTGTGAGATCCCAGCCCCAGCTTCTCTCCCCCACGCCTCCTTCAGCCTTCACCCGTTCTTAAGATTGGTTTAGCGTTCTATGGCCTGGCTGAG